TATCTTATCATATATTAACCACACACATCCTGAGAGGCAATGGCAAAAGCATACGTAAGATTTCTCAAAGAAGCCAGACTAAAAGAGGCAGCAACATCCCGGGGAAGTAGTCAATTTTTGTATTCTTAATTTATTTTCCATCAGTTAAATTTTAGACTACAGTGGGCAATAAGGAAGGAGAGGAATTCCTCCCTTAAGTAACAGTATAGTAATTGGGGACATCCGAACAATGCTGCTGAACAAAGAATTAAAGATAAGTGTTTTATAAACATGTTTATGGGTGACTAATCAGCAAATTTTCTGATTCTTCTGTGGTGGCTGGTGCTTCATCATCTACCACCATGTTACTGAAGATCATGCTGAATGGGCTTTAATCCATTCAGATTGTTCATCATTGGGCTTCACTGATAAAGATAAAGAGTTTGACTATGAAAAAATAGACACTTTTAGGTCCAGGTATGTAAAGTAATGGAAAACAATGAGTACATCCTGAATCAGAAGATTCTACAACAATGAAATATAAGAATGTATTTCATGCACAGACAGCAGAATCACCACTGCTTTAATGTCCATGGCAAGGGTGGGGAACCGTTTTTGGGTCAGGGGCCGCTGACCCACAGAAACATGAGTCGGGGACCACACAAGTGAGAAGCAGAGCATGGGGGGGGCTCAGGCTAATAGATTTTGGAGGACCAGCATGGGCCCCCCCAATGCTGAGGGCAGAGCTCTGAACCTTGGTGGCTGGATCCAGGCAAGCCAGGGACCATCTCCGGCCCCCAGGCCTGAAGTACCCCACCCCGGTTTAGGGAGTTGAGGCTCTGAGTAAAACTAAAGGATGAACTCCCTTCACATATGAAATAAAGTTCCTTTGTAATTACTGATTCTGGGAATTATTCTGGAATAGTGACTCTGTCTTTGTGGAAAAATAAATAAAGTTTGTGCTTTTAAGAGCAGAATTTCAGACACTGTTTACGTCTTTTGTCTCAATGGATATGTAATGAAGACTGCAGCATGGTCTATAGATCCCAGGAAGAGAAGACAGGCCTAACTGTTCATTTGGATAAAGATGCCACAGGGTAGGACACCTGCTTAATATTTAGATTATCTTGTTTATAACACTATTTAATGCTGAGACAAAAAGAAATTGGTGGGGGAATCTCAAACCAAGGAAATCCAAACCTGCTCATTTCCTAGGATCTCTCTCAAAGCAGCAGAAAAAAATTTGTTCAAATTTGCGTAAGCCCATTCTGGATGGCCCATCCAATGAAAATGTAGTCCATTTTTTCCCCTGAGTCCTTTTATTTTGATCTTGATTGAAGCATTTAGATTTGAGAGTCTTTGCATCCGCTTGTTGATTTATGCACGAAATGATAAATGCATTGCCTGACTGCCAGAACAGCTAATCAGATTTCTCATTCCTAGGAAGCTAGTGCTTTGGAAAAGGCTGCCCTCTTGACTGATGTGGAAGTTCTATCATCACAAACTGCCTGCTTCTACCAGCAGAAAGAGAATCACAGAGGATGGTGTTCTCATTTTCTTCCACATCTTGTTTGAATCATCTGGACTCCTGAAACCACATGCAGTCTTGCATTTATTTATAGGACTAGAAGACCTAAGAGCTGCAGGTAAGGATAGACTAGTTTCTTCACAACATGAACACCTCAGATACCGCCTAAATTAGCCTAGCTCTTCTTATGTCAGGAACACTGGTCCTTCTTGTATGTATCAACTGTTAAGCAACGTAGTAATATAAATGAGTTCCTATAGTCCAGAGTCTTGCTGTCACCTCTGTTATCTTTGACAAAACTCTGCAGAGTATCGAAGTTTAGTCTGTCCTCTGCCTCTACTGGCAGTAGCAGTCTGGTAGATGAAACTGATGAACTGTTGATGGCAGTTAAGTTAGTGTCTGAGTAGCAGGTCATAAACAAGACCTTCTGCTGCTATACTGGAAGAGCCTCTCCATCCAGTGTTTTAACCTTCAGCTACTGGTTCAGTTTCATAAAGGTCTAGGATTATCTGAACTGCACCTTATCTATTTCTTAATATGGAAAAATAGTATACCTCGAGTATCTTTGGTCTTAAAATGACAAGCTACATTGCCCCAACGTTCAAATGTTTTGTTCAAGATGGAATGTTTGACACTCTTCAAGTTTTGAGAAAGACAGACAGAAAGGAAGACTGTGGAGGAAACGTCTCAGAAGTATTCTTGCTATGCTCTCCAGTATCCATTGTCCAAAGAATGAGTAAATAGCACGGCATCTTGCCTTCTATTCTTTGGTGGAAGTAGATTTGCTGACAGTCACATTGATGGTTTGGACTGAAAAAGAGGGAAAGTGCCCATCTCCTGATGTGGCGCTCTCACTGGCATTTCATACCCAAATTATAAGAGAGGAATGGGAGACATGGAGAAATTTACAGAGCATAATGCCTTGTTGATAAGTCTTCTCCATGTCTCCCATTCCTCTTTTACAACCTCTTTGAAGAAAGAGAAGTGGAAATGCAAATTCTGACTTAATACTGAATATTTGCTCTCAATTGTTCATCCTCCATTTTTGGATGGATTTTGATGGGGAAATCATCTTCCTTCCCCATTATCTTGAACACTTATGTGGGCGAAATGGTATCCTTGAGCCAAAGAAGCAGGAGAGGTCAATGTTTAAATTCGAGATTATTCCTGTCATTGGTAGTGACATAATTATAGTAGTGACATCATAACTAGTGCTGGAGTTAGAGGGGGAGGTGAAGGATCTCCAATGCTTCCCAACTAGTTAATTCCTATTTGTTCCACCCTTTTAGAATGTTTTGCCTGACCTTCTGAAGGTTGAATTTTCCCCCCATCTGAGAACTTGTCCCTTTTTCAGAATTTACCCTTGCTTTGAGTCCCCATTCTCTATCATCTAATAAGCAATTCAAGTCGAAATGAAGGGAAAAGTGCTTGAAGGAGCCTAAAGTCTCCTTGCGAAAGAAACCAACTCAAAACAAACACCAGATTTCTTGCCAAGGTCTGCAATCATCCCTTTGAGAATGTGATAAGGGACTCTAAGATCTTGTTGCCTTGGTGGCAGACTGGACCAGTGGGAACAGAGTCAATAGGAAGAATTCATGAACAACTACGATTGACCCAACTACAGATTTTCAGGAACAGTATCTGAATGGGATCAACTCACCCTTGAAGACAAGTTTGCACTATTAAGGGAAAGAATGGAAAGGCCCAACACATCTTTAAGAATCTGAGTCCAGTTTTGGCAAAGTAAATATTTTTAGGCTAGGAGAATTGTGACGGAACTCCCCCTTTTCTTGAGGTGGAACATATTTTAACTATTCTTCTGTTTCATTTTGGTCAGGACTGCACAATGTTCATAAAATGAAGAACTACAGATAAAGAAGTCTTCTTGTGATTTGGGGCACCACCACCCTGGATGAAAATTAAAAAGAAAAGAAATACTTCTCACTGCCTCTGTTTTTAAACACAACACAGTAATGGAAAAAAGTGAGAAATGAAAGTTGCTATAATTTGCATGATCTGAGGCAGAAATTCTGGAATATACTTAAACATGTGGCTGAGTTCCGTGAATAAGATTATGTTCAAAATGGGAGAAGAGATCATGCCCCAGAAAAGTGAATATGCATCTACTGGCAGGTCTTATACAAGTGACAAATATTCCTCCCTTATTCAAGGAAGAAGAAATAAAGAAATGAAAGAAAAAACAAAAAGCAACATGCATCCCCTTAAAAAAAACCTCCCCCCCCCTTTTTTTTAAAGCTAAGAATAGTCTTTATGATTTAGTTCATGGCACTTAGCTGTTGCATACTGAACAACAAGTTTTTTTAAAAAATGACGTCATAAAAACTGTAGAAATGGCATTCGTTTGTAGCAAGCTTAATAATAAAAATAAAAAGACGTAAGTGGTTATCTGAAAGAAAATATTCATCAGATGAACTTCCAAACCAGGAAGGTACACAAAAGCTTTGTAAAACACACCCACAATTTTCCTGATTTCCAAAGGCAACATTAAAGATTGAAGTCCAAATACCAGAAGATTTTTTTAAAATAAGCATGTAAGTTGTAAAAGACTCAATATAATGCTACTTTTCACTCAACAATTAAACATAGGATATTTCATACATTAGACCAAGGTGGAGAAACTACAGCCCACAGGCTGGATCTGACTCATAGCTATATTTCATCAGGCCCACGATGCAGCTATGCCCCCTGCAGGCTAAAGTCACAAGCACTGACTTACCTTGCCATAGAAGAAAAGCACTGAACCACCATGCAGAGGTGTAGGAACTTGAGGTGCAGTGAGTGTTGAAGCACCCCAGATTTTGTGCAAGAACCCTACCCGGGGTGCTGTACCAAGCCCTCAACTATGGACCTAGCCTCAGTCCCTTACTACTGTCTCTCCCTTTTTATCTCCTGGAGCTATGGCCAGGTCTTGGCTCAAGGTCTGGAAAGAGGAGGTATAGGCAAGGACATGGGAGGGGGAGGGTGTCATGCAAAAAGTTTGGGAGACCACTGGCTTTCAACACCCCCTTGTAAAAACTGTTCCAGCTGCACTCTCTCCATGCTCCTGCCACACAACCCTTATTCCCTGTACGCTGGAGCCACAAGCACCAGCTTGCCCTACTGTGGGAGGAAGCCCCAAGTCCTGCTCCACCCATCTCACTGCAGGTGAGTGGTCTGTGATTAATTTTCTCTGGGTCAATGGCCTATGTCAGATAAAAAGGCTCCTTACCCCTGCATTACACAATGTCGTTTCTTGAAAATCATATTTGCTTGTTTTAAAACAAAAACACCACACAAAATAAAACCCACAAACCAATAGCACTTCTACGGTTCCTCAACATGCTCATTTACTACAAGACAACATCCTAAAACAAATGACTATGGAATTAAACAGTTATATTTTTATTGCTAAAACTCTGTTATATCAAATGTGAGCACTGTTTTTCCCCTTACAAAGATCTACTTTTTAACAAACTAAAAATGAATAACATACCCATTTTTTTGTAGTATTCCTCCCAAGCTTTGGTGTAATCAACCTGGCCTGCTGGTGCTGGATTTGGTTGATCTCCTGATTTACAGAAAGTAAAAATAAAAAACATTTAGTTATTTGAAACAAAATTTTTGTATACAAACATCTGGGTATTAATTTGAAACAAAACACAGATTAAGTATTTACATTATTTACTTATATTCTTAAAAGACTCAGAGGGATAGCTGTTTTAAGTCGGACTACTGGTTGTTCTTATACTTTAAATTTCCCAAGAATACAAGTAATCTAACACATGCTATGCAACTGCCAATTGAAATCCAAAACATTTAAGACTAGGTGTTCAAAGCTGCATAAATTAGGGATGCAATAGTGTAACTGGTTGAACAATTAACACATAAGCAGATGCTTATTGGTTGACACTACTTGATACATGCACCCCCTCCCATGAGCTCTGCATTTAAAGTATTTTGGGAGCTGGCATGCAGGCTCAGTCCCAGCTTGCGCCAGGTCTGGCAGCTACCCCTAATTCGGCTCTGCATTTAAAGGAACTTTAAAGGATTGAAATGCAGAGCCGCAGCAGGGATTTGTTTCAGACCAAATCCACAAGCCAAATACACAGAGAAGGACTGGAACTTAAACTTGAGAATGAAGTTAATTCTTATGCAAAACGTGTGAACCTGGCTCTCACACTATCTTCCACCTTTTTAATGACTTAACCAACCTGTACTAATGGTTCTTAACAGCCTCTTGTAACTATATGAACTATCTACTCACTGTCTCTTTTTCTTCCCCCTTTCCTTTTTTCTTCTTCCTCTGCCCCTTCCCTTATTATTCTTGGATCTGGGCTTATTATACTCCAATCACCCAAAGAAGTGGATTTTGCCCACCAAAAAGCTCATGATACCATCTATATGTTTTGTTAATCTTTAAGGTGCGACTAGACTATTTGTTGTTTTTTAAGTTTTTCCAGTTATAGACTAACTTGGCTACCCCTCTGAAGCTTTTGGTCCCTAATATAAATCATGGAGTGATTTTATGACAAGTTAAATAGTTATGACTTTGTGCTTGGACTCTCATATTGGTTTAAACCTGACATACCAATTTAGTTTGCACATATAAATTTACTCAACTGATTTAAATTAAGTCAATGCAATCTGTGTATGTAGACATACTTCAGGAAACAGTTCTATCTTGAATTATCAGTGAAAATAGTTTAAAGCAGTGGCGCTCAGCCTTCCCAGACTAGTGTAGCCCTTTCAGAAGTCTGACCATCTTGTGTGCCCCAAGTTTCACCTCACTAAAATTACTTGCCAAATTAGATATAGAAATACAGACATGACATAGCACACTAGCACTTAAAAATAGCTTATTTTCCCATTTTGTCTGTATAAAATCTTAGTTGGTACTGAGTTTAATACTGCTTTTTACATAGCCTATTATAAAACTTTTAAAATATCTAGATGAGCTAATATACCCCCTAAAAGACCTCTGCATGCCCTTGTTTAACATCCATGAACCTGAAGTAAAGCTACAAATTTCAAGTTTTGGCACTAAAGGTACGAATTTTCCCAACAATGTATGCTAATATGAAGTAAAATATCCCCTGTATGGGAAGAACCCAAACAACACTAACAGGATAAAAGTCTAGGTGGACCACTTTTCTTCAGTAAGAGCAGTTTTTCCTTTGTAACAGATTGATCTGAATACCTTGTCCATTAGTTTGAGTCGTAGGTGGTCCAGCAGGAGGGGCTGCAGGTGGTGGCTGAGCTTGCTGCTGATAGTAGTGAGCATAATAAGCTGCCCATGCTGCTGAATTGGGGTCTGTTCCTGGTTTACCTAAGAAATAAACCGTTGCTTTTATAAGAAGTAGAATTGTAAAAAAGTCTCTAACAGATCAAGAATTTTTCTGGCATTAATTTTTCTTCTGAGAAATTTTAATGAAACACTTAATCTTTAATATAGCTCTATGCAGGGCTCGACAAACAATGTAATCTACTCACCTGTGGCGAGTAGATTACACCCCGGAAGAGCCAGCGCAGAGCGATCTGCGTAGAACTGTGCGGCTGGCGAGCAAGGCTCGCTGCTGCTCAGCCAACTGAGGCTATATGGATACTGTGAATTCGTTCTCTCTCATTAAAGTCTATTGAATAAGTTTATATTAAAAATACACAATTTTGAGCTTATAAAAATTGTCAATTAAAAAGGTAAGGTGTGGGGATAATATAGTAAGTTAAATAAGTGCTGCAAAGTGTACTTCTGTAAAATAGTGAACACCAGCCCTGACGCCACCAGCCCTCCTGCTATTAGGTTTCTGGTCTGGGGCTCTTTGGTCTAGAAACATTTGTGGTCCTGCCAGACCATGGATGTTGCCAGACCGTACAGGTCCGGTTTTGGAAGGTGCAACCTAAGTATAATACAGGGATATGCAAGAGAGCCTCCTCAGACCACATCGAGCTCACCAAGTGAGTTGAACGGCCCACTAATGCCCTACCACTCCCCCACTCCCAGGCCAATTGAGACCTGGGGATTAGGAGCGTGCAAAGTCTCCTCCTCCCACTAGGGGTGTATGGCACCTAGAGCAATGGTCACCAACCAGTAGATCGGGATCTAGCAGTAGGAGTCTCTGACAGGTGATCTTGACTGATTTGGCCAAGAGGCTATCAAATGCCAGCACTTCAGCTGCTCATCCCCCCTACTGCTGTGCAACTCCTGCCCTGTTCCTTGGTGCCATCCCCCCCTTGCTATGCAAGGCAGGGAAGGAAGAGGAGGGGGTGGTAATGGGTAGGTGCCCCCCTCCCACTCTGTAATCTAACTCCACATAAGAGAGGGGGACACAGCAGGGTTTGGGATGGAGTTTGTTGGCTACTTTTGAGAGTGATGCAGGGCCAGGGCAGTGGTGTGCCTGCCTTAGTCCCACTGCACCACCATCCAGGAGCCACCTGAGGTAAGCAGTGTCCTGCTGGGACCAGCTGCGAAATCCTTCTCCAGTCAAAAACCCTCTCCTGCACCCCAAACCTCTTCCCTAGCCCTGAGATCCCCCGACTCAAACTTCCTTACAGAGCCTATACCCTGAACCCCTCCTGCACCCCAATCCATGCCCCAAGCTCAGCTAAGAGCACCTCTCACACTCCAAATCCTTTAGCCCAAGACCAGAGCCTGCACCCCAACACTCTGCCCCTGCCTGGTGAAAGGGAGGATGGGGGGAGGGATGGAGTGAACAGGGGCAGGGCCTTGGAGAAGGGCTACAAAAAGGAAGCAGGGCAAGGATATTTCGGTTTGAGGCAGATCCTGGATTGCACTTAAATTCAAGAGTGAGCTCCGGTTTAAAACAGTTGGAGATCACTGGCCTAGAGTGAATCTGCAGCTGTTTTGAACAGCTGGCAGTTTATGTCTAAGGGCTATGTGCCCCTTGCAGGGCAGGGAGCAAGAGACTGACTGGGCCTGGGGCATGTGAAGTCTTCTCCCACCGCCAGGTGTTCTCTCCAGTCAGGGGGAGCATGAAGTGTCCTGGTCCCACCCCTTTGACTCAAGGCCACGCCCTTTTAGGGACAGCCCAGGGCCTCTTCAAACATTTGTGAAGTGATCTCCCTTCTAAAATTATTGCCAACCTCTAGTCTAGTTAGAGGTGCAGTTCAAAACATTTTTTTAATTTAAACTGTCCGTGGTCCTGTAACATGTAACATTTTTGTTCTGATCAACATCTACATATCTGATCATCTTTCTCTTCCACCCATTATTTTTAATTGTAGCCAGAGAGTCACATCTTTGCTTCCAATCCTCTTGGTTCACTCTTTCTGTTGAACCACATGAAAATAACTACACCACCAGTTTGCAAAAGCTTTCGGGCACATGAGGGACTGGAAAACTTGATGTGGCTCAGCAGAAAATGTGAACTGTGTTTTTGAAGCTTACAGATCCTGTATATGAACATGAATGATCAAAAGAATTGGGGGGGGGGGACCACACCCACCAACTGGGATTCTCCAGATAGAACTAAACTAAGCATATAGGAAAAAGATGATCAAATCTGAGTCCACAGCAAAAAAAGTGAAAGCACAACACAAACTCAACAGATGGAGACAATGGGGTAGAACAGAGGAGAAAAAGAGAACCTAGAAAAGAAACAGAAAACAATGAAATATTACTAAAAGAAAATGAAAGCAGAATACTGGAAGTGCACATAGCACTAAAACAGGATGTTCTAAAACATATGAATTTTAAAATTGAAGTATTTTAAAACTATGACTGATCTCAAGAAAGGTTTAAAACTACTGAAAAACAAAACAAACATCAGTCTTAAATAGGGATGTTAAGCATTGGTTAATTAGCTAATCAAGCAGTTGATGGAATTTTCCACTACTCGATTAGTTAAGGGGGGGAAGGTGCACTCACTACTCCCACTGTGGCTATGCAGTTTAAATGCAGTAGGAGCCTGACACACAGGCAGTCTACATTTGAAATGCAGAGCTGTAGCGGGTGTAGCTCCAGGGGCTGGCACAAGCCAGGACTTAACAGTCCCAGACTGCACCAGATCCAGGACCACTGCAGTTCTGCTTCCCCTGCACTGCAGACACGGTGCTGGGGGGAACCAGCTTTTAAGCCAATTCTCCTCAGCACCGGCTCTTGGAGGAGGAGGGAGTAGTCGAATAGTAACTCCACTACCAAATAAGTCTAAGCTTGTCAGGTAGTCAACTACTTGAGTACTTGCTTACATCCCTAGTCTCTGACTTGGCTGGTCCAAAGAAACAACTTAAGAGACTGATCCTCTCTCCCACCCCCCCTTAAGATGTGGTGAAAGAGCAGCAGATGCTTAGAGGGAATAATATAGGAGTTGCTATGCCAGCACTACCATTAAGACCATAACAGGAGAGTTCTTGTGTAGCCATTTGTGTAACTGCAAAGCTGAACAAAAATCAAGGCACATGTCTAGTCCACTGGTTCCTATTTATTCTAAAATGTTGATACTATAGTTCAGTTCATTCATCACAAAGCTGCAATTGATTACCTCTATGCTAGCACCAAGCTAATACCAGTACCATCTCAATGCCCCTCTGTTAATTTGAGTCACTCCCTGACTGAATGCTGAATATTTAATGAGAAAATACAAATAAAGAGATCATGGATTGTCATTCTTTTGGTTCTATACCTATGCAAGCCACAAACTCATTTACTGAAAACTTGAAGAATTGGGCTACGCAAACAGATAAACTGATTACCGTGCTCTCTAGCATGTAATAGAAAAAAAACAAAATGAACTGTAAACCCAAAGAAAATTTGTCAGAAAAATTACTTAGAATAGCTCTGGTTTAAAAAGATGAAGATGAGCACAGTTTTGTGTGCATTCTTGCATCTCAACTTCAGTGAGAACACATCAGAAAACCAGGATTTTAAGATGATTCTTGAGTGAAAGAAAATTAAAATGAACAAAAAGAAATCTGCTCACATTAGAAGTGATCAAAAGTTCTCCACCATTTGAATTACTCTGTCAAGATTAGTATTGGCCAGAAACTGTTCTCTGCCCTCCCACACATACCCAAAATGGCTTGGTTTTTTTGGTGAATAACGGGAAGCCTTTTTTGTTTATTATAGCATTAATGACTCTCAGAATTTAAGAGTTAAATACCTTATGCTGCTATTACCTACAGCCCTGTTTCTTGGCTAAACTACATCTTTCTTGACAGTACCAGCAACCCTCTTGTTGATCAATGCATCACTGATGTCCCCAGCTATCGTATACCCCAGGATCTATATTCTAGAAAGGGAACAAGAACTATGATCTTGTCCAACCTGTAACAAACACATTAAAACGGAAGAGCTCTCCTGTTGGCTAAAAGCTTGAAGCACTTTAAGCACAACTTTATAGCTACAACATTGCAGCACTTCCAGTGTAGATGTAGCCTGAAACTCCCAGAAGACAGCATTTCAAAACTGACATTTTTCAATTTGCAGCTAAAATTAATAAATAACTAAATAAATAAAGCATCCCATTTTCTCATTTGTTTTTTCAATCAAAGCCGAAATTTTCCACAGAAGCAACTGGGGTTTTTTTAAAAGTCAATTTTTCATTGAAAAATGGCTTTGCAAGAAAAATACTCAACTAGCACTAGGGGGCTGTGCCCCCTACTCACTGCACTCAGCAATCCCGGCTCTCCCCCCAGGCCACTGGGAGGGCTGGGCTGCAGCTGCTCCAGCTCAGGTCCCTTCTTCTCCCCCTACCCAACTCTAACCCTTTCCTCCCAGCCATGGGATATGCCAGGCCTGGCTCTAATCCTGGCAGCCGGGGAGGCACAGAGGTGCCCTATGTACACGGCACTCAGGAGCACGGCAGCCTGCTGAGGTGGGGAAAGCAGCAGCATGGGGAACCTCTGTCCTGGCCTCTCCCCGGTATGGTCCCACCTTACGCAGCTCACTGCCCCAGCCTTGCTCGCAAAGCCCAAGCCCACCCGCCTGTAGCAGAAGGGAAGGAGCAGACAGGTCAGCTATTCTGGGCAGCTCGGGGGTCCTCTGGCAGCTACAGGAGAGGGGGTAAGTCTTTGCAGAGGCAGCTGGACTCCAGGGAGTTGGACACAGCGTTGTAGCTCCCCAAGAGCCTGGCGGCAGGAGAGCCAAGGGCCTGCTGCTGGCACAGAAACCTGACTGAGAGCCCCTCTCTCCTAGTACTGGTCCCCGGGTTGCTGTCCCAAGCACCACACCGTCCCCCTCTCTCTTCCCCTGGTTTGTCACAGCTATGACGTGGGGGCTGCCAGCTACTGCGCCATGTTTCTTGGTGTTGAAAGCCAGTGGGGTGCCGGTGGAGGAAAGGGACTAGGGGCTTGTTTTAAAATAGCAATTCCAAATGGCATGGGGAAGCAGCAAAGTTGAGCTCAAGCTTAGACAGGGGGAGGAGGCAGGCGGGATGCAGAATGACATGATGACGTCACTCTGTCGTCCTGCAGGAAAAACTTTTTTAATATATAAAGAAATTAAATGACTCTTTTGAACAATAGACAGCAGGAACAGAACTTGGGCTCTACCAAAATATTCTGCAAACATGTGCCCATGGTAAGAGAAGCAGAGGAAAACAAACTACTGCATTATCATTCTAAAATTTAAGGTATTTGCCTTTAGAAGAGTAACACCATGGGCACCTGCCTCCTCTAAATACCATCTACTTCTCAATACAGCAACAAATAGAGATTGTTTATTTTTAAAGTTCCTTCCGTAAAGATTCCTAAACAAAAGATGGACTTCAGAATAGATTATGAAAAAAATAACTACTTAGAATGAAATCAGAGAATCTCATGACTCTTATCAACTTCAATTAAATTAAAATTAATAGGGACGATGTTCTGAAAAACAAAGATGAGAAACATGGAAAGCTGGGAATAATTTGATGGGTTTAATTTCATCCTGATCAACACCACTTCAGGGAAAAAAATAGCTACAGAAGAACTAATGAGAAACCATGTTCACTGACAGATTAAAAAGGACATTAGTCAAATGTAAAACCGCAAGCTTATTTGTTACACACGCATTTCACATAGTGGCCTCTGAGGAAAATTGGCACAAAGACAAAAAATCAAGGTAGGGATACAGTAATGCCTCATTTAATGCTATAGATAGGTTTCAGAAAATGATCGTGTTAAGTGAAAATGTGTTATGCGGGGTCAATTTTCCCATTGAAAATAATGACAAAGGTGAATTGTTCTTTACAAATCCATGCTGGCTGTTCCCTGTCACCTATCATCTTCCAAGAGTTTGCAGATGATGTCCTTAATTATTTGCTCCATTATCTTCCCTGGCACAGAAGTTAAACTGACTGGCCTGTAGTTTCCTGGGTTATTTCCCTTTTCATAGATAGGCACTATATTTGCCCTTTTCCAATATTCTGGAATCTCTCCTGTCTCCCATGATTTTCCAAAGATGATAGCTAAAGGCTCAGATACCTCCTCTATCAGCTCCTTGAGTATTTTAGGAGCATTGAGCATTTCATCAGGCCCTGGTGACTTGCAGGCATCTAACTTTTCTAAGTGATTTTTAACTTTTTTTTTTATTTTATCTTCTAAACCTACTCCCTTCCTTCTAGCATTCACTGTGTCAGGCATTCTTTCATCAGACTTCTCCGTGAAGACCAAAACAAAGAAGTCATTAAGAATCTCTGCCATTTCCAAGTTTTCTGTTACTGTTTCCTCCGCCTCGCTGAGCAATGGGCCTACCCTGTCCTTGGTCTTCCTCTTGCTTCTCAGGGTACATCTACACTACAACGTTAATTCGAACTAAGCTAATTCGAACTAACGCATCCAGACTAAAAAACTAGTTTGAATTAGCGTTTTGCTAATTCGAACTAGCATGTCCACATTAAGTGGACCCTGAACCAGGCTTAAGGATGGCAGGAAGCAGTGCCGGCAGGGCATCAGAAGAGGATTTAGAGTGTGGAGATGCTGTCACAGGCTAGCCGAGGGCTGTGCTTAAGGAGTCCCAACCCCCACCCCGGACAGACTGTTCTCAGGGGTGCCCCGCTTACAAAGCAGTCCTGGCTTGGATTGCCCGGAGTACCCACACTGGGCACATCACAGCACTCAGCCATTAGTCCGGCTGCACTTGCCGCAGGCTGCCATCTGGGGAGAGGGGGCAATTGGGGGGCTGCAGGAGAGCTTCCACCCCCAGAAGCCCGCAGAGCCAGCCCAGTCCTCCCCATCGGGGGCGCGTACCCCATTCCTCCCTCACCTCCTTCCACTTACCCTTCCCTAGCCCCTCTTCTTGATGTACAAAATAAAGAAGATAACGTTTCTTCCAACATTGACTCTGTCTTTATTGAAAAAAACTGGGGGAGACTGGGAAAAGGAGGTGGGAGAGGGGAAGAGAAAGGCTGGGAGAGGGGAGGGCAACTAACATGATCAGGGGTTGGGAACAGGTCCCAGATGAAGAAAGGCTACAGAGACTGGGACTGTTCAGCTTAGAAAAGAGGAGACGGAGAGGGGACAGGATAGAGGTCTCTAAAAGCAGGGGTTGGGTGGAGAGGGTGCATTCAGAAAAGTTCTTCCTGAGTTCCCATAAAGAAGGACTAGAGGACACCAAAGGAAAGGAATGGGTAGCAGGCTTCAAACTAGTAAGAGAAAGTTGTGCTTCTTCACAAAGCAAATAGTTAACCTGCAGAACTCCTTGCTGCAGGAGGCTGTGAAGGCTACAACTAGAACAGAGTTTAAAGGGAAGTGAGATAAAGTGATGGAGGTTGGGTCAATGGAGTCCTATTAGCCAGAGGGTAGGAGTGGTGTCCCTGCCCAAAGTTTGTGGAAGGCTGGAGAGGGATGGCACGAGACAAATGGCTTGGTCACTGTCGTCGGTCCAGCCCCTCCAGGGTCCCTAGTGTTGGCCGCTGTCGGCAGACAGGCTACTGGGCTAGATGGACCTTTGGTCTGACCCAGGACGGCCATTGTAAGCTCAGGGCTCAGGGTCGGGGGTCTCAGTGGACCCCCTTGATTTTCATGCACACCTGCGCCTGGGTGGCCAGGCTGGCAGCTCTCCTGCCCTAGACGGCCACTTTCCTGTGCCTAGTGCGGAGATCGTGGACGAGGTCCACGATGTCCTCACTAGCCCAGGAAGGTGCCCTCCTCTTGCGGTCCAGGGCAGTAATTCAAATTACTCTACTGACAAACTATTTTTTTCCCAAAATGAGAAATTACAAGAAAGCCGACTTCTCAAAATGGATAAAGAATAGTTTCTTTGGAGACTATCTTTCATTGTCTGGCTATAGAATGAAGAACTGTAAAAAACAAATCAGTGGAAATTAAATGTTCTGAGACTAAAATTGAGAAGTGTAGCCAACCCGTGCCCCTTTAAGGGGTCCGGGGCCAGGAGGGGGGCAGACGAGTTGGGAAGGGCTAGCCTCCCACTAGTTCGAATTAAGGGTCTACACAGCCCTTAATTCGAACTAGTAAGTTCGAACTAGGCTTAATCCTCGTGGAATGAGGATTACCTAGTTCGAACTAAGCGCTCCGTTAGTCCGAATTAAATTCGAACTAACAGAGCGCTAGTGTAGCACCTATGAAAGTTAGTTCAAACTAACTTTGTATGGGAAGGGCTAGCCTCCCACTAGTTCGAATTAAGGGTCTACACAGCCCTTAATTCGAACTAGTAAGTTCGAACTAGGCTTAATCCTCGTGGAATGAGGATTACCTAGTTCGAACTAAGCGCTCCGTTAGTCCGAATTAAATTCGAACTAACAGAGCGCTAGTGTAGCACCTATGAAAGTTAGTTCAAACTAACTTTGTAGTGTAGACATACCCTAAGATATTTATAGAATGTCGTCTTGTTTCCCTTTATGCCTGTAGCTAGTTTGAGCTCATTTTGTGCCTTTGCCTTTCTAATCTTGCCTCTGCATTCCTGTATTGTTTGTAATTTGTCCCACTTTCCATTTTTTATATGACTCCTTTTTTATTTTTAATCATGCAAGATCTCCTGGTTGATCCAAGGTGGTCTTTTGCCATATTTTCTATCTTTCCTACGCAGCCAAACAGCTTGCTTTTGGGCCCTTAGTGTCCCTTTGAAAAACTTCCAACTCTCTTCAGTTGTTTTTCCTTCCTTAAGAAGGAAGCATAATACAGCTTTTCTGGCAACTGATTTTCCAAAAGATCACAACCAACACATGGTATATATGTAAGAGTGCACATTCAAAATTGGGAATCCATGAAATAGATTCCAAGGAGAAGCACCGTTTTGGATTTAGAGGTACAAATAAAAAGTAGAGTACACTTTTAATAGCAGGTCAAGTACAAATGTGTTTCTGACCAAAACATTTTATTAAAAGCAAATTTCTTACCTGGATCTGGTGGATTTGGTGGCTGCCAGTGTGGATAAGCATTTCCCCATCCTTGTGGAGCATATGGGGCTGGAGGGCCACTGTAAAAGATAAATAGCCACATGCAATGAAATACAATTTGAGAACCATATTATGAGAAAAACAACAGGTAACTGAAGTGTTACTTACTGAGGTGCGGGACCAGGAGGCCCTGGATTATAAGGAGCAGGATTATAAGGTCCCATAGGATTGCCAGGACCTGGTGGCCCAGGAGGTCCATGTGGGCCAGGAACAACACCATGGGGCCCATGGGGAACAGGTGGACCCAAAGGATTTACTGGACCCTACAACAGGAAAGAAGTGGGCGGGGGAAGAGTGACCCTGTTTTCACACACTGGAATCACAAGTCTGAATTCCAACAGAGGCTCATCTAAAAGGTTTCACTCAGGTGTTCGCTAAATCTTTAGGAATTCTTTCCTAGCTTGCACTCCAACTGCTCTGGCTCTCAAGGACACTGCAACATGCAGAGTTTATGGACAACCTCGCCTAATAATAATTTAAAATACCTAAATATTCAAAAATTAAAAAAAACTTCATTCTCTTGACTATCAAGACTGTCTCTGTGTTCACGTACAACTGATGATTGAGACAGAATAATTATACAACCACTGGTTTAAACTTTAGTTAGGATTAAAAGTCAGAATGTGAATGTTCTGAATCAAGATTAAATTATTTTACATCTTCATTTCAACCAGAGAATTCATTTAGAAAAATTGACAAGCTTTACTTTTAATCAAAGGATATTGGTTTAGTCCAATTCTCTGCAAAAAAAAATAAACTATGTATAAACTATTCTGAGCATTATATAAAAATCCATAGAGTTTTTTTAGTCCAATTGCTCATTGTTTGCACACTTAGATTTTCAATTACAGAACTGCAGATGCACAAAAACTGTGAAAATAAAGTACATCAAGAAGAAATAACTGTGCAGGCAAACAAAAATTATTTAAATTATTTTTAGACAAACCAGCAACACTACATTATGAGCCATGACATACACAAGTCTACCTGAAGGGAATAAGACTAGTAAAGAAAAATGTTAAATGTTTAACGTAGTTTCTTTTAACAGTAATAGTTTAATGGACCAAATTCGTCTCCTAGGCTGTCAAATTCTTCACTATCCACAGAGCAAGAACAGTGAAAATCACAACCTTAGAAAGGGAAATTTCTATCTTCTCATTTAAACATTGACCTTTCAGACTACCATCAAGAGTCTGAATTAATATGTGATTTTGGTTACATGTCACACTTTACTATCAGATATTGATCAGTAACATTAACTATTTTAATTACCATCAACCAGTTAACATTTGAACAAGAAACCCAGAAGAGGGAAGAAACAGAAAACAGCCTCAGCCTTTCTGTTCAGCTTCCTTTATTTTCTGAACTGCATCTTGAAGCAATAAAGGATGAATGTACCAATGTATCCTTACAGCAATTAAAAATGCCTCTCAGAATACTCACTCCAATCTTTTCTTCTATAAGTTGTCGAGCATAATCAATTTGCTGTGGCGTCCCACGGATAGTAAATAACTTCATGTTAGGGTCTGCATTTGGTGGAGGATTTCTCTGAAGTTCTATTCTAGCTCCAGATTGCTGACTTATGCTTTTGATAGTTTCACCACCTGTAATCAAAAACACCACCTTTGAGGGCAACACGTTTAGTGTGCATACAAAAGATACCCAACAAAAAACCATAAGATACTAGACACCAAGAAAATGAGGAAATTATTGCTTTGGAGTTGATAACCTAGCTATGCTTTTGAAACACATGTACTGTCATCTTGTAAACAGTAGGGATCCAGCCAAAAACCAAAAATACCAACCCAAAAGAGACAGCAACAGTATCAATACCTAAAACCAGTTCGTAAAAAATTCATACAATGGTGCTTTGCTTCCACACCACCTCGGCTGTGTCTACATTGGCGCGATCTTGCACAAAAGCAGCTGCTTTTGCACAAAATCTTGCTGCCTGTCTACACTGGCCGCGAGTTCTTGTGCAAGAACACTGACATTCTAACGTATGAAATCAGTGCTTCTTGCGCAAGAACTATGATGCTCCCGCTCAGGAATAAGCCCTCTTGCACAACTGTTCTTGCGCAAGAAAGCCCTATGGTTAAAATGACCATCAGAGCTTTCTTGCGCAAAATCATGCCAATGTAGACGTAGCCCTCAAGTTTACAGGGCCTGTTGAAGAGCACATATCTGAGCTCATCTAGAGCAGAACATGAATGGTGCCATCATGTTCATATGGATGACAGGAAATGCAACTGACCAAACAGTGAACTTGATTGCTCAACAAGTGCTACCTACTGTGCCCAAGTAATCTAGCTGAAAAGATATGAGAATATTTTCCTCTCTAGCCTCCTTCATTTGCAGTAGTTGCAGATGTTACTTGTAACACTAACAGTTAGTTTTCAGATCGAAGATGTAAACTTGTGTCCATTTAAACCATGCGCTAGTAACGCCAAGTCTAAAGATGAACTACCACAGATCAATTCTTTGTACTGTCTGCAAGATTTATTACAAATGAATAAATTAAAAATAATAAAAAGTATACAATGCAGTGCATCTTGGTTTTTTATAATATTTAAAAGCCTAGTACATTCTATAAATTATATTTCTGTGAAGGTAAGTCATCTTACTAGATCTTTGCTGAAAAGTGCAGAGATTTCTTTTGTGACGTAATTATGATGTGTGAGATAAGGAAGGTCTAAATTCAGATCATACTAGAAGAACAGTTACGTACACTTGCACCAACTGAAAGCATGTACTAGATAAACATTTCAGCTTTGAGTTTTAAAAACTTCAGACGTACTGTTATAATTAATTATATTAGCAAGATACACACCACTCTGGCTACCAGAAACCACCATTATTATTTCCTAAAGAAAATTAGTTCTACATTAATCAACATGGCTAAAATGTGACACATTGCTAAATAAAACAGAAAAAAAAAATCAGTGCACTTTTTGCAAAGACTTCTGGGTAATTAACTATTATGATTTCAGTTAAGACTATATTTTACTGTAAAACACATTGCCTTTTCCAATGATTAATCCAGTTTTTCCAGTGGGTACAATAAAATTGAATTCCTGTAATCCACCAGGTGGCCCCATGTTCCAGTTGCCTTGACCTCTTCCTCTTCCTCGACCACCAGGCCCTGGACCACCAGGATTACCAGCCTAATGGAGAGGGAGGAGAGAACACAAATTAGCACACACTACTAAAACATAATGCCTCATTAACCAATATTAATCCATAGTAACAAACAGTGACTCTAAACCAAAGCCCACTGTACAGTAATAAAGAAAACTCAAAAATAGCTCTAGAATAATCAGAACAAGACATAGCTACTGACTTTAAATACTAATCCCACTGGGACTTTAAGAACTGCAAATAGAGGCTGTTTTATAATCCAGACTCACTTTTAAAATATCATCATCAACTAAGATATGAAAATGAAAAGACACATGGCTAAAACATGGATTTTTCCTAACTCAAGAAGAAAGGCTTTTTGCTGCACAAAATATTATAAATATTAGCTAACCTGGACGCTTCGAAGGAGGTCTGTAATAATTTCTGCAGCATGTTGACATCTGTCTGGAGGTCCTGTAATTTGGGCTATTCTATCTGGAGTTGTTCCATCATCTGGAATAAGAATGTAATATTTAAATTTAGCAACATTTTACTTAAAAAAAAAAATCAAGCTAAGTTGATAAACATTTACACACACTCACCCATCTACTCACCTGGCTTAAATTGAATTCTAACTCCAGCATCATTTTGAATCTTTTTGATCATCTCTCCATTTCTTCCAATTACAATACCAACAGCAAATCGAGGTATTGGAACCTTAAGAGAATATATCATCAGTATCTTGAAACAACTTTAACTATTCCTACCAAAAGCCAGAAGAAATACTAGAAAATTAAACCTGGTCACCAGCCACACAACCTCAGCATGCAATCTTTTCAAATCTAAATTTCCACAGAATCATGATCTTAGCCAATAAACAAATGGGATGGCCATGTAAATAAATAAATTCTAGACACCACAGGTTGTTACAGTGGCATCACTTCAGCAGATAGCGGTTTTTCTCCAATCCATGCTCAAATAACGTATTAAGGTGCCTAAGATACTGGTGTCAAATGAGAACAGGAACCCTCACTGGTCACAGAGATTTACAATTCCATGACTTTTTTACAACCGATTGAACACCTCTGTGTGCTGGCCAAATCATAGCTTGGGTAATTACATCCTTCACCCTTTCAGCTTCAAAAATTTTCTTCAATTCTACTTAAAATGCTTCAAAAACAAACTGTTATACATTATTGCTAGCACAAGATGGCTGCTGCATTCCACATAAGAGGTAGCAGGATTTCAATGGTGAGCAAGTAATAGCTATGTGCCATACTAGGGATGTGAAAGCTTAATAGGTAAAAATCACCCTAAACATGTGATACTTACAAGTTCTGGTTAACTGGTAGGGGCTGAAGCAGCCCCCTTCTGCTGCAGGGAGTGTGTGTGTGTGTGTGTGTGTGGGGGGGGGGAAAGCTGCTCTAGCCCTGTGGGAGGCCTGCTGAGGACCCACATCCAAACCGGCCTATCTGTGGGTAGCCCCAGCCCCTGCACAAGGCTGGGAGCTGGCAGTCAGCCAGGCTGGAGCAGGGTCCTATCCCAACCAGTTAAAACAATAGGCTGACTTGACATCTAACCGGTTAAACGATTAACCAGGATTTTACATCGTTAGCTAGAACCATTTTGGGATACAGTTAAAAAAAGCTATTATTGGTAGTAACTAGCTTTTAACATTATTAAACAGTCTCGAAGTACACAGCAAACAATTAGTTTTCAACCATACATACATCTATCCCTTCATTTCCTCCTATTCTTGATCCATATTCATTGCGTGCCTCTCTAAAGCCACCTTGATCACGAATCAACTCCAACACCATCTCCTTGGCTTGCTAAAGAAGAATAAAATGTATTTTAGATTCTATAATTTTAAAAACCTGGTTTGATATCCATAAAAAATAAATCTGGAAACAAACTTCTTACTTGAACTTTGTACGGGTCTCCTGTAATCCTAAGAGGTTTGTCTGCACCAGTGTTCTGTGGTCCATCTTGAATCATGACCATTTTGACTCCTGCTCGTTCCTATTTGACAACATAAAACTGAATTTCCATGCAATTCCAAAGTCTGACCTCTCTCATATACACCCTCATGCCTTTGAAACTTACCTGAAGTTGCTTAATGGTCTCGCCACCTTTTCCAATAACTAATCCTGCTTTACTAGCTGGAATCATAATTTCTTGTACAGCATTTCCCGGTCCATCACCATGATGAAATCCAGGTGTAGGTCTTCCCTTTTCAACTATCTGGTCAAGAAGTCTCTTTGCAGACCTGTGAAGAGACACAAACAGTTATTGCTACACGTATTCTTAACTGCACATTGTTCCAGTTACAAAAATTCATTTCACACAACCATTTCAGAGTTTCTTAATTACAGACACATATTTTTGACATTTATAAGAGATGCATTTATCAAATTCTACAGAATGTCTTCCCAGTCTCTCTTTTCTTCACATCTTTATGTGAGACACCATGATGATGAGGCTCAGTATGAACATGTCAATGTGGTAGATTTCTATCCTATTAAGAACTCTAAAAAAGAAAGTGAAATAATTATACTGGGTTAGATGCCCAACTATATAATATGAAAAATATTCAAGCCTCTAATGAGACCTGCTGCTACCAGTCACTTTCTTCAGCTTCGTGGTATTGAACAGATATTGTGCCCAATACTTTTCTGTTTCACCTGTTGGTAGAGTCTGTAAATGTAAAGTCTTTCATTATTTAGGGTCCACTTGTTTCATATTTAGGTCCACTTGTTTTTATGATGTACATGATACCAAGCTTCTCCTTTTTCAAGAGTTGTTAAATTTTGATTAATTAACTAATCTAATAGAACCTGGGGCCAGCAGGGGACTCGAGTCACCCACTCGCCCTAGGTTCCTTGTGGCGCTTCCGCTTTAAAATGTACAAGAGCCCCAGCAGGGACTCATACATTTCAAAGCAGGAGCACCACTACTGGGCCCTGCACCCTCTCCCATGGAGCTGGAGGACACCGACATTTTAGTAAGCTCTCCCTAGCCCCCGTTCTGCTTCCCCTCCCTTGCTGCTTCTTTTTGATAGAGACAGCAAGGGGGGAAGCAACTAGTTGACTAATGAGTCAACTATCTGATAAGCTTTTACTTGTCGGATAGTCGATTAGTCACTTACTTCTCTTGTTCCTTGTTTTAATATCTTGATTTATTTTGACTATTGCTGAAGGTGTTTCCTCCTTCCTCAGCATTAAACCAAGTTTCAAACTATCAGATCTGATGGTGGCCAATAACCTTCTTCCAGCAAATTTCCAGTTCCACCAGACTTCTAGGTACCGGTAATTACCTTTTTTCCTTTTCCCTATACTTTCTGACTTGGACCAGAATTGCCCATATTTTCAATATCAGTCAATTGAGTCTTCTACCATTTTGCTACCCATTTACACCAGTCCTGGCTTTTATATGCAGAAAATTATTGTGGCAAAGGTGGGCAGCCACTGAAAATCTCATAAGTTACACGTGCATTGGGCTCTGCAGTATAAAGCTTAAGTATGTCCACATTAAGAAGTAGGTTCCCCCTTCAAGAAGCTGCCACAGTTGCTGAAAAATGGGGGACGGGGGGGACGAGGTGTTCCTAAAAGAAGCACTGCCATCAATTCACCCTAAACCTCCCAGCAGGCCTTAACACACACCACACAGAGCACAGGGGCTAGCACACAAGCAGTGGGACAAAATCCATTCCATCTTATATCTTCTCAAGTGAAACCACAAAAAATTAGACTCAGAGGCAACTGTCTCCCATATTGATACTGCCTTTACAGTACTAACCAAATGAGCCTGATACATGTAAACTTTTCAATTAAGCTTAAAGAAACTAAGTCAACACTAGTAGCTACGGCTCTCCACATTCACTGGACTTTTCAGTGTTCAATGAGAATATAGTTTTTTTGGCACATCAGCAGCAAGACTATTTTCACAGATAAACCCATCGCAGCACAGGAAGATGAAAATTTTCTTTCATTGGCTATTATCTGTTGCTCTAAAACCATAAGAACAGATAAGCAGGCATCTAAACATGTTTACTCATCTAAAGGTTTAAGACTTTCATCCTGGAAAGCCTTGATTTAATCAAGCACCACCAGGATTACTCCCACCACCATTATGTGATAGGACCACATTTATTTTTATGCCATTAGCCCCAACTCGCACTAATCATCAAAACATCACACTTCAATATTGATTTCACCCAGCAAATTACATGCTACATACAATCAAGAACATGCTCACACCAGCATTCTGACTCACTTTGTACCCAGATTCAGATTAGTGCACAGATAAATAATTATTAGCCAAAATAGGGCCAGATGCATCATTCAGTCAGATCTTTAAAGATCAAGTATTTCATTCTTTATTAAATAAGATCCCTCAGGCTTGATCCTGCAAAACTAACAGCAAGAGAAAGAGCTATTTAACTTTAACAGGTGCTCAGTATAATTACTTAATGAAAGTAAACACTGAAATTAAAAAAGTTAAAGCTTTATAGCGACTGCAAATAGCAGGCAGGATAAAGAAAATCTTTATATCAAATTCTCCCAAGCAACATTTTTCTTATTTTGCCTATATGTAAACTTTCATTGTCAATGCAAACGTATGTGTCAGTTTCTATGTGCAGTGCAATTCAATCAACGTATAACAGTAACTACAGTAAAACTCCATTAGTCCAGCATCCAATGCTCCGGGACTCCTGATGGTCCGGCACCATCAGGAACCCGGAAGTGCTGGGGCAGCCGGACAGGCTTCCCCCATTCAGCTGCTGCTGAAACTGACCAGCAGCTGAATCGGGGAAGCCGGGAGCAGAGCAGCCGGGGTGCTGCTGGGTTAGTCTCCTAGCGCTGCCCCTCAGGGCTGCGGGACCAACCTGGCAGCACCCCGGCTGCTCTTGGGGACGCCTGGGGCAGAGCAGCTGGAGTGCTGCCGGGTTGGTCCCGCAGCGCCAAAGGACGGCGCTGCGGGACCAACCCAGCAGGACCCCAGCTGCTCTGTCCCAGGCGTCCCCCAGAGCAGCGGGAGTGCTGCTGGGTTGGTGCTGTAGCGCCGGCCCTCGGCGCTGCGTGACCAACCCGGCAGCACCCCAGCTGCTCTATTGCAGGCATCCCTGATTCAGCTGCTGCTGAAACTGACCAGCAGCGGCTGAATCAGGGACGCCTGGGGCAGAGCGGGACTATCGTAAGGGGGGGCTATGAGAGGTCTGGGGTGGCATCCCTTCCCACCCCACTCCAGACCCCTCATAGCCTCCCCTTCTGATAGTCCGGCATATTTGATAATCCGGCTCCCCCTGGGTCCTAAAGGTGCCGGATTATCGGAAGTTTACTGTACTGGATTCTTCCAAGCAAAGTTATATTGTTACCCACTCTGATTAGGAGTCATATAAAAGACTGCAAATATTTTTAGATCTAAAAATATTAGTCAATGTACTTACTGAACAGATTCAGGTGTTCCAGTTAACATGCAAGATCTTTCAGGCAAGCCACCGCTATCTATAATATTTGTAAAATGGAACAGATGTAATAATTATTTTTAACTCTCAAGGCATCAGCTGCTAAGTAAATTGTGATGTGTTGAGGCCAGTTTTAACACTTTACCAAATCCATAAAAATCAATCATTCACAAGATTTAAGACTTTTGCAATGTAACCACTTTTAAACATTCTCATCTGAAGAAGTGGGTTGTACCCATGAAAGTTCTGATACCATCTATGTGTTTTGTTAGTTTCCAAGGTGCTACAAGACTGTTTGTTGTTTAGGTTTTTCCAGTTACAGACTCTCTACCTCTCAATCAATCGTTAAGGTAAGAGTAAGTTTAGTTCAATCATCAGTAATCTGTACCAAACCTGTTACGACTAATTGTATATCCCTCAAAAGAAAATAATTACCAGGAGCAATCTGTATTTTGCATCCAGATTCTTGCTGTATGCGTGAAATTTGTTCTCCTCCTCTGCCAATTACTTAAGGGATAAAAACAAAGGACTTATTAGCAATATCAACATGTTAAGATATCCATTCTGTTGTGTATTATATTTTATATTACTTACTGAATCCAACCATTCCATCTGGAACTTTGTACTCCTCTGTCATTACAGACCTAAAAAGATGAAATATGAGAAAAGATAACATATTTAATAGACTACCCTGGCTCAGAATTTAGGGAATAGTTGTCATGGTTATGGAAAGAACGGCTACCTCCCCCCCTCCCATGACATCAAGGAGGAGTAACACAGTAACATTTAGGTTAAATTCTTTGGGTGCATTTACTTAAATCTACTTCCATTTAGTAACTGTAAGGGGAGGGGGACACACACATCCCTTTTTACTTCAGAAGTTTTGCCATTTTAATGTAAAATCCTTCAAGACAGACATTAAAAAAAAATAATCTGTAAACAGAATACCAATATTACTATTACAAGGCAAAACTGACATTCCTAATTAACAATGTAAAAATTTAGAGACTAAATCTGTACTTGATGATAAATTATTTCTGCTAAAAATGTTTTAATACGTAAAGGGCCAGAGTCTTCCATGATAATTAAATTATGTCTATTTATGTAGCATTGTAAGTATGCTACAGACATATGAAAATATAGCACATCTCTATATCAAAACAGGAAAGAGCAGATTAAGGATTAGAAAGGCATATGGGCAGCTTGGTTGATCTGGGGTATTCCTCTCCCCCCCCCCCGAGGCAGCAAAAGGACAAGGAAGGTGATAAGAATGCAGACTGATCAGATATGCTTGGCATAAATTGCTAATACCGTATTTTTTTTGCCTTAAATCTCTCTCTCGCTTTTAAAGATAACATTTTTACTTCAGACTTGTCCTATGGAGCACACCTTCCACATGTGACATGATATACCCAACAAGGTTCTAAATGTGGAATAGGCAAGAGATAATACTATTACGTACATTTCAAATATTGAGCTTATGCCTGTTTTGGCTAAATTCTAATTAGCAGAACTTCACAAACGTGTTTCGTTATTATTGTCAAGCACTTGTCTTTTTGGGAAAAAAGTCAAGCTGTTGCCTGGAAATGCATCAATACTAAAAAGTAACAGTAAACAAAATGTTAATTATGGTTTCTACCTTTGTTGCTGGTGCATTGGGGGTAGCTGAGTTCCAAAAGCTACAAATAAAACATTTTTTAAGTTAAATTTCTTTCACAATTAAGCCAACATTTTCCCATTAAACTATCTGTAGCAATTTCTGACAATGCTGTGTTTTAAAGGTATAAAAGTATACCTGAAAGCCAAACTGCTTCTCAACTCTGTTGCTAGTACACAATAATTCACAACTAGCAAGCTGTACAAACAAGCCTATTTTACTTATAGAAACTTGAGATGTACATGTCAAGTCACCTAGGTTTTACTGGTCCAAACACTACCTACCAGAATACTGCATCAGACCCTTACTCTGAAAATGTACAGTTGCTTAGGTTTTATTCACAAAAAAATAAAAAATACTTACAGTCGTTCTGAGGAGCAACTTTCTTAGCATCTGGTTGATCTGCAAAATTAAGATTTTTTAATTTTTTTTTGCCAAGAAGCAAAAATGTTTTAAACTAATGGCTGTTCCATGAGAGTGAATCGTAACTTTTCCAGTGTATTTTTAGTAATGAATTTGGTTTTGGTAATTTTCAGGAAATAGAGCTAAATAAAAAAAAGAAATCTTATAAACACTCAGCAGTTGGTTAGTATACTTGAAAAGAGGTTAGGTATTTCCATATGTCTATTCAGTGATTTAATAAAAGCGATTTTAGAAACATATTGTAGATTGGACATCCACAAACGGTCATGAAACTTGCTAAAACAAACAACAACATTTAGCTCTGCTCCTAATAACTGGCTTCTCAAGCTAATGATGCTTCTAAAGAAAGAACTGAAGAAAAAAAGTCCACCAAAGTCAGTATGAAAATAAACAATGGCTTAAAAAAATCTGACAAGTGACCGCAAATCTATATAGAGTACCAAAACTTAAGAAGAAACAATAATCTCATTGCAATGCAATCTGAGTCTGAACTGTAGTTTGAGATTCCTATCCAAAAAAAATTCAAGCATTTCACAGCATTAAACTTCAAAAAAATTGATTGAAAACAACTCTCTCACTACCATCCAAAATCCTTTTTGTACAAATAAGTAAAAGAAAGGCATACGCAACCTATATCTAAATAGACTACTTCAGATGCTTCCTTCCCCACCCCAAATTCAAAATTATGCAATGAACCATAATAATTTATGGGTAGCAAAAAAAAAATTTAAAAAAAATCAGACACATAATCCAAGAAATATTTGTGTCATCCATTTCAAAAGATCCACTAGTTTATTCACGTTTACATACTGAACACAGGTAATAAATAAAAATTCCTGCCTTTAAAAGGAGAGGGCATTCCCTCCCAGTGTGTTGTACTGCTCGGACTTGTCCAAGAGCCATCTACACATAAAATAAAAAGAATACATTACATACATCATCTGAAGCATCATTAGCTCATTTTTGTATAATAAAAACCTCACTATTAATAGAAAAACACTTTATTAAAGAACACAAGAACCCCTGGTCTAAAGCCTTCATTACAGTCTGTAAGCTGAATCACAATCCTCTTAAAGGGAAAACAAGTCACAGCTCATAGATGGGACCTAACAAAGTATTTTCAACAGCTCCGAGTTCAGAAGTTTCTCTCTATAATTTAGTCAGGATTATGTGTGTATATTAAACATATCAAACCCTGTTAAGGTCACACTAGTTAGGTAGTTAAAAAAAAATCAGCAGACACCCACACAATGCAGCAGCCAACTTTTCTGCAACATAAAGCAAATCAAAAAGTGGAAATGGCAACAAAAGTAGAATATATTACAGCATGATCTTATCAGGGTTCACGCGTGCTGTGCTGTACGTTAAAGTTAGTAAAAAGATTGAACCAAGGCTAGTAAGTAGAATTTTTATTTTTCCATCCTTTTTTCCAGTCGTATGCCCTTAAAATGAAATGCATTAATAGAGTAGGTTTACTAGATGCCACACTTTCAATACTAAATCACATGTAAAAACTGCACAGGTTTGAAAGGTGACCACTTTCAACACTAATAGTGAACAAAAGATTTCAACAACATACCTGCACAAAGGTATCGTCTAAATTATTTGTTTTACCTACCTTACCCATGGGTTTTCCTTTTAAAATGTATTGCATCATATTAGCACAAGAGACCAGGGAATGGTCTAAGAATTGATTTTCTTAAGACCTAAATAGCTCCACTCAATTCTAAACAAAAAACCCACATTAAATCCAAATTGGGAAACTGTGTGGCTTTCTTTAAAGAGAGCCCACATGCTAATACTATATGGATCTATACTATTTTTTCTGTGGAAAAAATATGACAACGTTTTTGGCACCACTGCTGTGATGAATAAAATGAATTATGGTAGTATACACATATTTACTGACAGCATACCTCCATCCTCAAGAGGTCTTTTTTGTCCTCCATAACTATAGTCATTTGAGTTCATTGATGTCCCTCCATCACCTCCAATTTTTGCTGCAATCTAGATAAAAGTAATAATAATGAAAGCAAAGATTAGATACTTTTCACCTTGTCACCTTGCAGATCAAAAACATAAAACCTGGTATGCCCTAGTTATGCTGGAGAATCCTTGTAACTGTTTCAAACAACGTTAAGACGAAACGTTGCTTCTCTTTGCTTACCTTTGTTCACATTTCTATAAAAGACCATTATGCTTTAAGAAGAGCATTTAAATAAAATTTTGCATTGTTACATATCTATCTTTAATAAAAGGTGGTGGCGATACTCATGAAAACCCAGCAACAAGTAGCTCCTTCTCCTTCGCCTCCCCAACCAGTGTGGCGACCCAGCGCTGCGCACTGAGATAACGCGTTTAAAAACTGTGATTTCGTTAGTTACTTCCCCTCTGAACAGCTCAGAAAGGAGTCCCAGGAAAAGTTCTCTCCCTCCCCTCCCCCTTCATGGAGCTGTGCGCACAGGGGGAATATTAATTGAAGTCGAGAAGAACAGAAGGGACCCCCGCCATCCCACTGCCTGTTGAAGCGCGAGAGCCCCCCCCCCATATTGCGTGTGCCCAGGAGGCAGAGGAAACCCTCCTCACTGCGTGCGCTGGGCGGGAAAAGAGAAAGAAACAAATGGCACCGCCGTCAGCCCAGCGTGCCCAGAAAGCGATGCGCCTGAAATGGAAGCGGACCCAGCCTTATACCAGCCCCAAGCCCTGAAGCCGCCCGATACGCTTCAAAGGATTTGCGTAGGACCCACCCTATTTGTCCCAGAATAGGTAGAGGGGAGATTCCGGTGCGCGTGCGCTGGGCGGGAAAAGAGAAAGAAACAAATGGCACCGCCGTCAGCCCAGCGTGCCCAGAAAGCGATGCGCCTGAAATGGAAGCGGACCCAGCCTTATACCAGCCCCAAGCCCTGAAGCCGCCCGATACGCTTCAAAGGATTTGCGTAGGACCCACCCTATTTGTCCCAGAATAGGTAGAGGGGAGATTCCGGTGCTGAGGATCGGAGGCCCTATCGGGAGCCGCTTCCAGGCCCCCGAGCCTGAGGGTCGGAGGGACCCATGGGGGGGGGGCGACGATTAGATCTCCGGAGATGTCCTTCAAGGACACGGAAGGGGAAACCCTCAGACAGAAGCTCGCGATAGCTCCTTCCTGGCACGCGATTTAAGAGGCCAAAGCGCGTGGGGATGGGAGGGGGTTATCACGCGATGATTTTGAGGGGGGTGGGCCGGAAGGAAATCTCGGTAGGGAAACAGGTGGCTCTCGCGAGAGTGGACGGTTAATTTTCAGGGTGTTGGGTTTCAGCTGCTGCAGCTGGAGTGGGCGGGGCAGCTGCTGAGACGGGAGCCCGCCTCCGGCTCGTGGGCTGCGCGCGCTGACCCAGGCTGCTGCGACTTTGAGTGAGTCGGGATGGGCGAAGCTGAGCGGCTGCTGCTAGTCGCAGGCCCCCAGCGCGCAATTTCCCTTTTGCGCTGCCCCTCGTGAGGGGTGTAACCTGGGGGCGCGGAGCCGCTGCCCCGGGGCGTACTGGATGGTGCACCTGGCGGGGGAAGCCTCGCTTGCCGGGTGTGGGAAAGGGCTACAGCGAAGCCGGGCACCGGGCTTGCGGCGCTGCGGGGGGTGTTGTGCTGGCGGGCGGTGGCTTGTAAATTAGCGTGTGTGGTGACGGGGGGAACTACCCCCCCCCCCCCCCCCCGTGTAACGCGCGCAGGCAGCCCGCGCTCTCCGCGCGGCGGGAGAAGGCGTTCGTTGGTCGGTGCGGAGTGGCTCAGCGAGCCCGCAGCATATGCGGAGCTGTCGGGGCCAGCGCAGGGTCTGACGCTTCGCCCCTCGGCATGCTAGCGATGGTGGGGCCTATTTGAAATCATGGGAAGGTGGGCGGGCGAAGCCTCAATTCTGGGCTCTGTGACTCTCTCTGGTACAGCTTCGCTTTTCAGCTGAATGCAGCCTGTCCTTTTCAGATGTGCCGCTACGTCCTTTGGGTCTGTTCCCTTGGCTCTCAATTGCTCTCATTATGTCCATGTTACTTTGATTACTTCTTTTTCAGGATATCCTGCTGATTCTAGCATCTCCCTACCGGGCTTCTGAGTCTTTAGTACTTCTGCAGGTTCAATATCTGTATTTGTTATCCAGTTAACACTGAGGGCTCATCTCAAGCACCAGAAACAATTGACAGCCACTTGTCATGTTGCAAGATGACAAAAATCAGGCTGAAGGTCATAGTCTAGCTAACTTTTTAGCCACAATAGTTCATAATATGAGAAGGTGGTCCAATTTAAGTGTTGCTATTACCCTCTTTGGAGGGAATGCAGGAGGAATATTCTATAGTTTGCAGCTGGTATGTCTATGCCAGGGGATGGTCTGCCACAATGTGTTCTGTTTCTATATAATACATTTCCTATCTAAGTTTAGGTTTGAATAATGTGAATTCTATTTTTGTACATTGTTCAAGTACTATATAAATATTACTCTTTGTTTATGCTCTGGCACATGTCACCACTGCCTTTGCTTTTTCTATCTTTATTTATGCATACACTGTAAATGTTCTTTAGATGGGGCACTTTACAAATGGTGTAAAGTTGCTTTAACGTTTTAGAAACTTTTTGCTGTCATTCTATTTGAACACGTTAAGTTCTTAAATTGCTTATAAACTAGTGCTCGGGACAGAGAAACATTTTTTCTCTAAAACTTTAAACTCCTTTTATGGTCTTTTCTTTATGTCTTGGTCCTCTGGCTTGCATTTGACAGTACAGGCAGTCCCTGAGTTACGCGGATCCGACTTATGTCGGATCCGCAGTTACCTATAATCAGAATTAAAGACTCCGTATCATTTAGAAACAATAGTCTGTTTCGGTCTTCCTAGCCTGTAAAACAATCTTGATTGTAATAAGTTGTTTGCATGCACTTGTGTGTGTCATATCAAAGGAAAAGAAAGCTAAGGAGAAATTATGTCTGTATATAGTTCTGGTTGAGGTGAATTTCATGGTTGCTCAACTATTATGGGAATGAACACCCAACTGTGTGTCTAGTGCCTGTGAAAATTCCGTCACCTGTCTGGATATGTCTCTCACTGACAGAGGACGGAGTTATCTTTACTGGTGACTATTGTAGGTCAACACTGAAGAATGTTAGTAGGTCAAAGTGGGGAATATATCACACTGACTATGATATGGCTACGTAGGTGATCATGTTTCCCTATCTCTCAATATAGCATCTTTCATGATTGAATTCCATGAAAAATTAAAACATAACTAATCCCCAAAAAGGAAGCAGCCCTGGTCAATGGATTAGTCACTGAAGGTATAAACAGACTTGTAAAAGCAGCAAGTATGTTAGTATAACCACATTCCAATATTGGGGTTCTCCCCCACCATGTGTTGGTAGGTACAGTATAAATATAATACTATTTCAGGATGTTATATAAGTGGTGGCTATTCTCATACAGGCAGTCCCCGGGTTACGTACAAGATAGGGACTGTAGGTTTGTTCTTAAGTTGAATCTGTATGTAAGTCGGAACAGGAATCCAGATTCAGCCGCTGCTGAAACTGATCAATTAAAACAGCGGCTGAATCTGGACACCAGTTCCGACTTACATACAGATTCAACTTAAGAACAAACCTACAGTCCCTATCTTGTACGTAACCCGGGGACTGCCTGTATGAGAATAGCCACCACTTATATAACATCCTGAAATAGTATTATATTTATACTGTACCTACCAACACATGGTGGGGGAGAACCCCAATATTGGAATGTGGTTATACTAACATACTTGCTGCTTTTACAAGTCTGTTTATACCTTCAGTGACTAATCCATTGACCAGGGCTGCTTCCTTTTTGGGGATTAGTTATGTTTTAATTTTTCATGGAATTCAATCATGAAAGATGCTATATTGAGAGATAGGGAAACATGATCACCTACGTAGCCATATCATAGTCAGTGTGATATATTCCCCACTTTGACCTACTAACATTCTTCAGTGTTGACCTACAATAGTCACCAGTAAAGATAACTCCGTCCTCTGTCAGTGAGAGACATATCCAGACAGGTGACGGAATTTTCACAGGCACTAGACACACAGTTGGGTGTTCATTCCCATAATAGTTGAGCAACCATGAAATTCACCTCAACCAGAACTATATACAGACATAATTTCTCCTTAGCTTTCTTTTCCTTTGATATGACACACACAAGTGCATGCAAACAACTTATTACAATCAAGATTGTTTTACAGGCTAGGAAGACCGAAACAGACTATTGTTTCTAAATGATACGGAGTCTTTAATTCTGATTATAGCAGTTCCCCCTTCTTACGTAACTGTTCAGCAGTGCAGGCCTAGAAAATATGCAGACATGAATGACTATTGAGCACATTGTATATAACACAGTCATCTTTTTGGAACGTGTAAGGTGTGTGTGTGTGTATATATACATAAATTCAAAGAAGGAAATACTGTATGTTCTATACAGAATATGGAATAACGTGTTCCGTGCTAAACATCTTAGTTTCCTTGTTTAATGATGTCTGTTTGCCTTGAGACTTCAGGGCATGAAAAGTGATATCTAATTATCAGAATTCAAGTGTTCAGTGAAAGGCTCATTTCATTCATATATTCATATCTCATATGTGTGTCATTCCCAGTTTTGTTTTGGCAACTGAGTTCTCTGCAGTGACACAGAACATCTACAGTCCAACTAGGAGAATACTGGTTATTGTTTGAAGATGAAACATAATGGGGAGTGAACTTTTTTGTTGTAAAATGTGTGTAGAATGTTTGAAAGCTGATTTCTGAGTCTTAAAAATTGCTGCTACTATTAAAGACCTTTCCAGCTTATTTTAAAGTATGCCACATTCTTTGCATGGCAATCAGTTTCAAGTTGCTTTATAGGGCTTTTGGGGGAGTTCAGAGATGCCATCTTCTGCCATATGTCAGGTCAAATTTTTGCTCACAAGTGCGTCTTTTTTAATGGATTAAGGTTTATTTTAAAGCAGAGTTGTGGTTTTGTTTTTGTTTTTAAATTACCTCTAGTGGTTGATTCAGTAGTGCAATTTACCTAGAAAGCCAGAGAGTACAGGGTTTTTGACTAATTCTGAACTGCAAAGACATCATGTTTGTGGATTGCTTCACTTTGTTACAATTATGAAATTCATGTAATCAAGAATTTTTTAAGAAGATAGAGCAGAGCAAAAAAAAGAGAACAAAAAGGATTCTATTGTAAAGACCCCTCTTATGGTGGTGTTAACATTTTTCCTATTTCTCTTACCAACTCTTTATCGTGTTATATTATTTTATTCTGGACTAAAACATAATTGATTTAATAGAAGGTTAGTTCAAACTCTAGTGTCCAAATGCTACTACATTTAACAGCTACTTAAAAAACTTCAGTGGGGCTGCCCAGTTGAAGAGTATGGGAAATATTTAATCCTTACAGCTTTTCTTTTGAATAGATAGTATCTGTGCTGTGAGTCTTAGAATTTTTAATCAGTAAGTGTTGACTTACTATAAACACAAAGTGATTATAGTATTTCTAATAAATTATCAATGTTAGGCAAAGTAAGAAATTCTGCTTGAACTTTTTAATTTGATTTGAGGGTATTTCCTTTGTCTATTTTGATGTGATGCTGACAATTTATATTAACTGTTAATTTTAATTTTTGAATCTTAACATGTAAGACTAAATAATCTGTCCTTCCCTTATGACTATCTGTAATTTCTCAAACCTTGAAAATCCTAATGCATTAAGTCTTAAATGTTTAAAAATAAACATGAAACTAATAAAAATTCTGG